CCCCAGAGTCAAGGGTGAAGGTGAGGGAGGCCGAAGCCGACGCAGTACCTGAGAGCGCAGACTCACCAGTACCTGAGGACGCAGACACACGAGCACCTAGAGCAGCAGCGTCGCAAGCACCTAGGGCAGCAGCCTCACCAGGACCTAGAGCAGCAGTCTCAATGCCCGGATCGGGCGGGAAACACCGGTAACAGTCACCCTCATCACTAATAGACACAGCATACATGGCAGAGAGAATAGCATCAAAGTCAAGATCATAGATGGCAACACCCGCCCTAGACAGCTCGCCCCAGCGAGGGATCTCGGAGGCCTCCGGGAACTGGTGACGCCACGCGTCCTTCAGGCGGCCAAAGCAGCGCTGGGTGGGGTGGGCACCCCCACACTGCTCACCCGCACGGTCGCCAGTGCGCAAAACGTAGGAGCACGGACCAAAACCCCCACCCCGCTGACGCGCAGTGTACCACTCACGAAGCTGCTGAGGGGACAGGGTGTCACGACCACGCTGCTGCTGCTGGCGCGAGCCACCACCGGAGCCACTCCTCTGCGAAGACCCGCGACCAGCACCACCGCCACCCCCGCCGCCTCCGACGCCTCCGCCGCCTCCGCTACTGCCGCCGCCTCCGCCTCCGCCGCCGCCTCCACCTCCGCCACCTCCGCCACCTCCGCTCCCACCGCCACCGCCGCCGCCACCTCCACCTCCACTGCCGCCACCGACCCCTCCACCCCCACCTCCACTCCCACCGCCACCCCCACTCCCCCAACTGCCGCCACCTCCACCTCCACCGCCCCCGCTCGCTCCTCCAGCGCCCTTGCCCCCCTTGCTCTTGCCAGAGCGGCGTCTCCCGCTAGGGGCAGACGCCGCACCGACCGACTCAAGAACAAGGAGGTCGGCCGCAGCAGCAGAGGCAACAGAGGGCAGAAGGGGGGAGGGGGAACACCCCTCAAAGATGGGGGTGCGCGGGTCACCACGAGAGGCCCCTACAGCGACGATGCTCTTCTCGGCCGCTAGGAGGGACTTCTCGAGGAGGTCAACAGTGAGAGTGGTGGGACAGACAGAGAGAAAGTGGTCCCTGACTACGCGAAGGGAGTCAGGAAGGCGAGTGACTATGTAGTAAAGAGTGATGTACATGGGGGGGGGGTTCCTGGCGCAGAAGTCAGGAGGGAGTGCAGCGCGGTAGCGAGTGTCACTAGTGCGGAGGTGCGTAATGAGGTCAGTGACTGTGGGAAAGGCAGTAAGATCAGGAAAGAGGTACGGTAGCATGAGACGGCTCAGTGCAGCAGTGGCAGGGGAGGAGTAGTGCGCAACTACAGCGTCGTACAAGGTCTGAGCACTCTTGTACTGACTAAAGTGCGCACGCTCGGAGGTAGGGAGGTGGCGACGCACAGCAAGACGTGCAGCAGCGTCGCGCGTGGCCCACTGGGAGCGAACAGTGGCGTCAGCATCAGCAGCAGGGGCAGTGGAGGTGCCAGAGGTGAGGTCAAAGAGAGAGAGGCCGTCTGCCCTATCGCACTGTAAGAACAGCTGCAGGTCATCTACCCAGACCTCAAAGTCAATGGCCCTACCCTCAGCGTCAAAGGCGAGAACACTAGGGGTAGCCATGACCCTAGACGACTAGCAGCGCAAACAGTGGGGTGAGGACAGTGCAGTGAAAAGGCGCTGTGCTCACCAGACTGGGCAGGTCGGGCGGCCCTGAAGGAGGGCGGCGCGGCGGCTCGGCGGCTCAGCTGCTGGGCGGCCCGGCGGCTCGGCGGCTCAGCTGCTGGGCGGCTCGGCTGCTGGGCGGCTCGGCTGCTGGGCGGCGCGGCCGCTGGGCGGCTCGGCTGCTGGGCGGCTCGGCTGCTCGGCGGCTGGGCGGCTCGGCTGCTGGGCGGCTCGGCTGCTGGGCGGCTCGGCGGCTCGGCTGCTGGGCGGCTCGGCTGTGCTGCTGCAGGGCACGGGGCCGCAAGTAAGGTGGCGGGGCCGCGAGGAAGGGCGGCGGGACCGCTAGGTAGGGCGGCGGGGCCGCGCGATGGGGCGGCGGGGCCGCGCGATGGGGCGGCGGGGCCGCGCGATGGGGTGGCGGGGCCGCGAGGAAGGGCGGCGGGGCCGCGCGATGGGGCGGCGGGGCCGCGCGATGGGGCGGCGGGGCCGCGCGATGGGGCGGCGGGGCCGCGATGGGGCGGCGGGGCCGCTAGGTAGGGCGGCGGGGCCGCGCAATGGGGCGGCGAGGCCGCGAGGTAGGGCGGCGGGGCCGCTAGGTAGGGCGGCGGAGCCGCTAGGAGAGAGGCGGCGGGGCCGCGAAGACGGGCGGCGGGGCCGCGGAGACGGGTGGCGGGGCCGCAGTGCAGGGCCGCTAGGGCGGCTCGACGAAGTGAGGGCCCGAAGCGCGACTCGGGCTGAGCGCGCTTCGGGCAGGAAAAAAAATCGATGTGGTGGGCCCTAAGCACAGTTCCCAAGGGGGAACCTGCTCGATACCATGAGAAGATTTGAACAAGAATGAATGAACTATGAAATGAAGTGGGTACAAATATGAAACCCTAATTGGTTGTACCCCCTATGGGATACCCCACTATAGCCTACACAACAGCATAAGCTATAATGTTCTGACAGGGTGTTGGGATTATGGAGGGTGGGGTCCTTCGGCGCCTCCTTCTCAGGGAACGTGGGAATCGGGCCCGCCGCCGCCGCGTACTCATCGTCGCTGCCCAACGCCTCGTTGACGATGATGTCGTCAGGATTCGGCGCCTTCTTCGCCTTTTTCTTTGCCGCACCCTTGCTGGATCCAGGGTCTCCGTCGTCCTTGTGCTTCTTGTTGCTTGTGCGGCCACGAGCAGGGGCCTTTGCAGGGGCCTTAGCAGGGGACTTAGCAGGGGCTTCCACGACCTTTGCCTTTCCCTTCTCCGCAGCGGTGAGTAGGGGGCGACGCTCCTCCCCTGGACTGTCGTCGTCACAGAGCACCACGCGGGCGCGCTTCGTCGTGGACTGTAGGCGATGGCGCAGCCTCCGCTTCAGTAGCGGAACGTCGTCGTCTGTCCCAAGGCGCCACGGGTCGTTGTCGTCGCCCTCACCCTCAAATAAGACGGCATCCGCAGCCACCTTGTTCGCCTCCGCCACCGCGTCCGCATCCGCAGGCGCCTCTGTCTCGAGTTCCGCCGCCGCCTCGTCGGCAGCCTCATTCGCATCCACCGCCGCTTCCTGTGCCTCCGCGTTGTCACCGCCAGCATCTTCACCTCCGTCGTTGTCGGAATCACCAGCCCGCCACTCTTCCACATCGTCGTCGCTCCCGACCGGCTGATTCCACCATTCGTCCTCCTCGATGTCGGCAGTACCAAATTCGTCGCCCGAAGCGCTGTCATCGTGGCCGTTCTCCGGCCAATCCTCCTCGGCGTCGTCGCCGTGTGCTTCGTCTCCGTCTTCCCCGTCACAGCTCGCACCGGAGGCGGCGGTAGGACTTCCCGCCTTGCTCGCGTTCTTCGCCATGGCTACGCGGATGTCATCGCCGGGCGAGTTAATTCGCCCGTAGTTATTCACCTGCACGTGAGGACGAGGTGAGGACTTGCCTAGGGGTACCTTGCTGCGCATGGTTAGAGAGCCTGCCGAGAGCAAGGTTGAGGTGAGAATTCAACCTCCATGAGCACCAAATGAAGTGAAAGCCCGACTACCCCCCCCAGCCAGAGTGCCCCATCCACAGGTGCCGAGCCGCTCCTCTACGAGGCATCTCCTCGTAGAGGACAGCCTGACGCTGCCAACGTGCTGCCATCAGCGTTCTGGAAGCTGCCATGCGCTGCTGGCAGCAAAACGACGCTGGCAGCATCATTAGATGCTGCCAGCACAGAGGAATCTTGCCAGCGGTGGCAGCTTTGCTGCATCACCACCGAGGTCGGCCTGTTTCAATGAATCTGGTCCCTGGGTGTTTTCTACACACTTTGCAAGTGTTACAGTCAACTTAAATTTTTTTCCATTTATAAGAATTATAAGACACCCTAAACCATCCCGTTTACAAGATAACTCAAGCATTTTTGCCCGTGTACGAGATAAGACATATATGTCTTATATCCGGGCGATGACGGTACTGAGATGCCTTTGGGGAAATCTGATGAGTACCAGACCAGACCAGTCATTCTATATCATAGGGAAAGGTCTTCCATTACTATTTTTGAAAGGATTCAAGCATTATAACTTGTTGAACTGATAACTCTGCTTAAAACAGGTATACATGGGGTTACCAATAGCGAGGATTACCAAAATCCTCCTTTATTCGTCTCAAAACCCTGATAATCTTCTGCTTATCGAAAGTCAAGGGCTTGAGCCTAGCACCCTTGCCAAAAACCAGATAATAATTCAGATCGCATGCGTGCGAAAGATGATGAAAGCACGCGTTATCATAGTTATCAGGGCGAATCTCCATTACTGTACCGTTGGGCGGCATAAATATCATGTGGGACATCCCCGCCCCATGCCCCGCCACTAGAAGACGGGCCTTGCTGAACAAATCCCGAGCTGGAAGGAGAAGACAGAACAGGTAGGGGACAAGGATAGAATCATGAAGAGGGGGATTAAAGGGAGGCCAGGGGCTGGAAAAGCTTGGTGAATGGTCGTGAGAATACAACAAATATAAGGCAAAACAGAAAAATTGTCACATGAAATTATGTAACAAAGACAAACAGAGAGCATAGTGCAAGCAAGCACCTAACACTTACTTTCATAAACACTCTGCGTGCCGTTGAAAATGTGGACCCTCCCAATCCCAAAAAGTTTCTGAACTGCCCCCAACAGCTGCCCGAACTGCTTCATCGTCCTGCCCTTGGCCCCAAGCCGCTGCACCACCACCACAATCCAATCCTTGGGCGGCGGAAAAGCCTTCGACAAATATTCCCGGTCTCGAAACCCCACGCTCTCATTACCTAACCCACCATCCAAAGTGCCCGGAAAAATCCCCTGACCATCGCCACGTGGCACATTCCTGAGCTGCCACCTGTCCTCGTAAAAGTACGGCAACCCTTCGGGCAGAAGGATGTGATTATAACGAAGGGTGTGCCAGATGGCAGGAGAGGGATTTCCACAGCTCTGGTAGAGTGGCAGGTAAAGCTCCCTCACGTGGAAAAGGGTTCCCTCGGGAATGGCTAGGCGGCGGAAAGACTTGGTGCTGACTCCTACCAGGTGCTGAATGGTGCGATGATAGAAACGCCACTGATAGAGGTGAGGGTAGTGCAGGAACAGGTTACAGGGGGAGAGGAAAGGGGAAAGATGAGAGGGATTTCCACAGCTCTGGTAGAGCGGTAGATAGAGCTCCTTCACAGGTGTAGAAGGCGGGTTGCCACTCTATGAAGCCGTGGTAGAATGCGTCTGCCTGGCGCTAACACAGGACCGTCTGAGAGAGAGCAGAAGTACCTGGGAGGGCCGAGCTAGCAATGGGATGTCGGGATGGGCTGCGAGCACTGAGTGGAGGATGAAGAAGGCGGGTTGCCACTCTATGAAGCCGTGGTAGAATGCGTCTGCCTGGCGCTAACACAGGACCGTCTGAGAGAGAGCAGAAGTACCTGGGAGGGCCGAGCTAGCAATGGGATGTCGGGATGGGCTGCGAGCACTGAGTGGAGGATGTAGAAGGCGGGTTGCCACTCTATGAAGCTGTGGTAGAATGCGTCTGCCTGGCGCTAACACAGGACCGCTTGAGAGAGAGCAGGTGTACCTGGGAGGGCCGAGCTAGAAGAGGGATGTTGGGGTGCGCTGCGAGCACTGAGTGGAGGATGAAGAAGGCCGGTTGCCACTCTATGAATCCGTGATAGAAAAGATGGGGTGGGTGGTTGAATGTGTCTATCTGGCAGCAATGTTTGTGTTGCTTTTGAGAATTCTCAAAAGCATGCAAAGGCTGGGAGAGCGAAGGATGAGGGCAAAGGAACAAGGCGTTTCTTACCTGGGAGGGCCGAGCCAGCAGCGGGATGTGGGGATGGGCTGCGAGCACTGAGCGGAGGATGTAGAAGGCGGGTTGCCACTCTATGAAGCCGTGGTAGAATGAGGGGTGGTTGGAGGCATCCGCCTGACAGCACAAGAAGGCTGGGAGAGAGAGCAGGTAGATGCCTTACCTGGGAGGGCCGAGCTAGCAGGGGGATGTTGGGATGGGCTGCGAGCACTGAGTGGAGGATGTAGAAGGCGGGTTGCCACTCTATGAAGCCGTGATAAAATGCATCTGCCTGGCGGTAGACCAGAGAGATCGCTTTATCCACGTGATACACTTGGGTCTTCCCTGCCTTGAAGGAAAACTGGGGGGGGAGATCATGGAGGGTGGGTGGGCACGAAGGGTGGGTGGGTGGGCATGGAAGGCGGGTTGCCACTCTATGAAGCCGTGATAAAATGCATCGGCCTGGCGGTAGACGAAGGAGATGGCTTTGTCAACGTGGTGTACTTGGGTCTTCCCTGCCTTGAAGGAGAACTGGAGAAGGGGGGAATGGAGTGTGGGTGGGCAGGGAGGGTGGGTTGCCACTCTATGAAGCCGTGGTAAAACGCGTCAGCCTGACGATACACGAGGGAGACTGCCTTATCCACGTGGTGCACCTGGGTCTTCCCTGCCTTGAAGGAGAACTGGGAGAGGAGGGGCATGGAGAGATGTGGGGGTAGAGAGGTGGTAAGTGCAATGAAGCCGTGGTAAAACGCGTCAGCCTGCCGGTAGACCAGAGAGATCGCTTTATCCACGTGATACACTTGGGTGTGCCCTGCCTTGAAGGAGAACTGGGGGAGGTAGGGGCATGGAGGGTGGGTGGGCATGGAAGGCGGGTTAAGGAACTCTATGAAGCCATGGTGAAATGCGTCAGCCTGGCGATACACAGAGGAGATCGCTTTATCCACGTGATACACTTGGGTGTGCCCTGCCCTGAAAGAGAACTGGGGTAGGCGGGGGCATGGAGGGTGGGTGGGCATGGAGGGTGGGTGGGTGGGGTGGGGATGGAAGGCGGGTTAGGGAACTCTATGAAGCCATGGCAAAATGCGTCAGCCTGGCGAGACACATGATACACTTGGGTGTGGCCTGCCCTGAAAGAGAACTGGGGGAGGCGGGGGTAGAGGAAGAGGTGGTAAGTGTGGTGAAGCCTTCAACAAGAAGTGAGGCACGGCGGAGCAAAAGGCACGGCGGAGCAAAAGGCACGGCGGAGCAAAAGGCACGGCGGAGCAAAAGGCACGGCGGAGCAAAAGGCACGGCGGAGCAAAAGGCACGGCGGAGCAAAAGGCACGGCGGAGCAAAAGGCACGGCGGAGCAAAAGGCACGGCGGAGCAAAAGGCACGGCGGAGCAAAAGGCACGGCGGAGCAAAAGGCACGGCGGAGCAAAAGGCACGGCGGAGCAAAAGGCACGGCGGAGCAAAAGGCACGGCGGAGCAAAAGGCACGGCGGAGCAAAAGGCACGGCGGAGCAAAAGGCACGGCTGCTCCATCCACGTCCTGGACTCGTGCCTTTTGAGTCGACTCAAAAGGACTCGTGCCTTTCCAGCCTTTAAGGAAAACCGGAGGAATAGATGAGGGAGGGAGAGAGTGCCTTTTGAGTCGAATCAAAAGTCACCTCGACAAGACGTGGGAGAGAGTGAGGTGCTATGTGTGATCATTAACACCGATCATACATCAGACACTTACACTATTCTACACATGCTACATAGTATGTTGTGCTGTATATTGGTGATACATCTCACATTGAGGTGTCCGTTGCAGTCACTTATGTTAAAGACAGTGCTCGCAGTAAGCATATATATACGTTTCTACTTTTAAACATATATAAAGTTAGTCAGTAGAACATGTTACACATCTTACATTGAGATGCCCGTTGCAGTCACCCTTGTTGAAGAGAGTAGTGGCATTGAACACATTCCCATCGTCATTCACGAACACGTTGTTCAGGCGAAACACCTGCGTGCATGGTGGAGAGGAAACAGGGGGACGCGGGGTAAGGCCGGAAGAAATAGATTGAACACATTCCCATCGTCATTCACGTACACATTGTTCAAGCGAAACACCTGTACGGTGGATGGAGAGCAGGGGGGAGGAGGGAAGGGGAAGGAGGAGGTAAGTGGAGTGGCGAGGAAGAGCAGATTGAACACATTCCCATCATCATTCACGTATACATCATTCAGGCGAGATGAAACAGGGGGACGCGGGGCAAGGAGGGAAGAAAGAGATTGAACACATTCCCATCATCATTCACGTACACGCGAAACACCTGCACGGTTGGAGAGGAAACAGGAGATAACGGAAGAGGGAGATTCAACACACTGCCATTGTCGTTCACATACACATCAATCAGGCGAGACACCGGCACAGGTGGCGGGGGGGAAACAGGGGAGGCCAGACGGAAAGACAAAAAGGGGGAGGAAAGGAAAACAGAGATTGCACACATTGCCATCATCATTCACACACGCGTCACTCAGGCGAAACAGTGCATGATGGAAGAAACGGATATAGTGAGACTACCTGATAAGCCGCTTCGTCGTGCCAGTGAAAGTCTGTGTAATGGCTGCAACTAGTAGTATCCCTTCCTTCTCTGATGCATGAAAACAGAGATTACCTCTTTCATACCCCAACGGTTACATGAGATTACCTGATAGGCTGCCTGGTCGTGCCAATGAAAGTCCGGGTAATGGCAGCAACTAGCATCCCTCCCCTCTCTGATATCCAAACACAGAAACGCTTTTTTACCTGATAGGCCGCCTGGTCGTGCCAGTGGAAATCCGTGTAATGGCTGCAGCTAGTGTCCCTCCCCTCTGGCTTCAAGTCATTCACGTTGAATATTTTCGGGCAGTTTATCGGAGTGGGCGGCTTCACATACCCCTCATCCACCAGTCCCGCGTTCCAGCAGGCTGAGATGTTGGGGAAACGTTTTCCGCAGCTGCCCGAGAAGTCCGGGCAGGGTTTCCCGGTGCAGTTAAGGGAGAGAAGAGAGGTTTTGTGGTGTAGACCGTAGTTGAGGTGGAGTATGTGCAGGTCGGAAGAGGTAATGTCTCGGTTTAGAGTGGTAATCTCCTCTGCTGATTCGATAACCCCCTCGCCATATTCACTCTCGTTTGTGCCACCAGCAGCAGTGGTAGCAGCACTAGCATCATCACTAGCAGCAGCAGAGGCATTAGAAACATGGGTAGCAGCAAAACCAGCAGAGGCAGCAGAGGCAGCAGTAGTAGTAGCAGTGGCATTAGTAGCAGCAGCAGTAGAGGCAGCAGCAGTGAAGTTCTTCCGAGCCTGAGCAGCAGCACTGGCAGCATGTTCCCGAGCCTCAGCAGCGGCAGCTATGGCAGTAGCCACGGCACCAGGGCTGTGCATGCTGCTGACGTGGCTCAACTCGGCATCCACACCTCTGCCCGGGCGAAACGCCCATGTGACTGTAACGAGGGAAAGGGGGGGGAGGGAGTGTGGTGGGCGGGGGTGTGAGGGGGGGAGGGAGTGTGGTGGGGGTTGGGGGGAAAGGGAGTGTGGGGATGGGATTGGGGGGTAAGATAGGGTTACTATGTAGAATAGGGTGTACACGAGAACTTTGGGGATGGTGTCAATCTAGCGAGGGACGTTAACTTCTTACCAAGGTAAAACGCTCATGTGACTGTATCGGGTATTAGGATGTGAGACTCATGGATTATAACGCGCATGTAAGAAACGCGACGGGAGGCGCACGGATGGGAAAGGCTAACCCTGAGATTTGCACCAATGGCGTTAGGAAAAAGAGGCGATCTTGGCATTTGCGATTCGCGACGCACTGATTTGGATGGCGGTCAGGCATCCCGCGACGAGGATGGCGAAGAGAACGAAGAGGGTTGCGCGAGGTCGTGGTAACAAGCGGCGAGGGGAACGCGCTGGCATGCGGCTGATTGGCGATGGTCGGTCGTCGTTCCATGTGTCATCGTCTCCTGATGGCATCCTCGCTATTATGTGCCTGGCGATCTAAGTTAGTTGCGACGGAAATGATGCGTGGGAGAGCGGCGAGGGAGTCCCATTGTCCCCTGTAAACCATGAACTCAATATTACATTCAGTAGCGTGTATATATCTATTGAACTCAAAAGCAGTGGCATGAAATTTCGTTGCCACCATTCGAGGCTGTGCTTGGTGAAGAAATTTCGTTGTCTGGTACAGAAAAGGGTATGCTTGAATGACTTTGGGAGTTTGAAGTAAAAGAGTGACTGGTAGTACATCTATATCGAGTATAGTTGGTGAACACTCTCTGACAAGCGCTGCGGCTGACACATTCAAATTAGCGCGGGAAACCATTTGACCCTGCCACATGCCGAGCCGAACAGATTCTCTGACCCATCAACCCGAGTTGAGGTGAGGTGAGGTGAGGTCAACCCTTGCCACCCACCGCCGTCACACGGTCCGGGCAGTATGCAGGATTCGAAGCAAAGCCTGCAGTGCAGGTGATCCCCGGAGGATTTTGAGGACGGAAATTTGAAATTGGCGGCAAACTCTGCAGCAGGAGTCTCCCATAAAACTCTCAGTGGAGTTGCGTTTGAGAGCTGTAATGTGAAATTACCCCGCTAAACCGTGTGAAACCCAGAATAACGGCTCAAAATGCAGACCATATGGTACAGCCAGCTGGACAACCCATCAAGCACCAATGGCTTCACTTGACAATCCCTGAGTTTTCTGATGCTTCCTGAGATTCCTGTTTTTCGCTGAAAGCAGCGGCAATCTCTGAGGTGCTTTTGCTGTGAGCAGCGATAACTTCTGAGAGCAAGAAGTGTATGCTTGATGTGATGAGGACCGTCGATTCTCCCATCATTTGTGTGCCGAAATTACGGAGATGAGTTTTCAAGGTGACGTAATCACTGTGATGTGCTGAGTCTTCCTCGCAAGGAGCATTTCACAGAGATGGCTTCACTTATCAGGCTCTTCTAAGACGAGCTCGGCCTAGAGCAACTCGTTAGGCCGTTTCAGTTCAGCTCGGCTCGTTGATTCTCCCTCCACAAAGTATATTTGGAAAACTAGATCCCCACTTTCAGTCTAGAAAGCTGGAAATACCAAAATCCATTCAATGTACGACTCACGTCCGGTGTTATTTATTCACGCTTCAGTCAACTTGCGTCATGAGTCAACTCCCTGAATCTTAGTATCACGGAATAATAGTTTGCTGTTAATAATCCCACTTGAGTTTTTTCACAGCTGGTACGCGATGCCGGTCGAGTTTTCGTCCATCTAGCGGAGACACGACTGCGTAGTTTTCAGCGATTTGACAGGAGTGAGCGAGCATGGCGCAGCGGGCGGGCTGGTTCTCGTCAGAGCACAAGTCGAAGCATCTGCTGGCCACGATCAAGGAAAAGGATGGCGAGATCGAGAGCCTTCACAAGACCATCGATTCCCTTCACCAGGTACAACGCAATTCTCTCCGCAGGTAATTTTTGTGAGTCGAGTTAAAAGCGTCTTCAGTGCTTCACGGCTTTCACAAGGCAGGCTGAATGGTTGTAACGAGGTGGATTCTGAGTCGACTCGCACAGTCAATTCAATCCCTTTGAGGTGTCCGACAGATCGTTTCTGCGCGAGTTTGTGGTACGTGTAATCGATTTGCTCAAGAACTTGTAACTGCTCACTGGTCGTTCAGAAGATTTAAATTGATAACGAGATATCCGTCATTCCTGTGGCTTCTCATCCACTGCGAGCGACGTCTGAGGATCTGATTGGTTGGACGACCCAACGCCAACACCGTAACACACTCGTAACACCTATATTGTGTGTGCGTGTGTGTATTTTTTCCTGCAGGAACTGGAGAATGAGAAGTCCGAAAAGCGGTCCATGACTCAGGTAAGACCCAGACCCACCCCTTTCATTCCAGGTTCGTTACACCCACACCCAGTTCCCAATCCTGCTCCCTGGTTTCTTCCCCCACGCATGGCACACCTTCCTGGTACACGATGCACAAGCCAGTCTCGTATGCGGTCCTCTCTTGTCATCCTCCGTCATCCCTTCCCATGCTCCCTCAGCTTCCGTCAGTTCTCCGTCATCTCACCTCGTGCTCCGTCTATCGCTCGTCATCCTCCGCCGTCTCTCTCCCCTTGTCACTTTCGCTTCGCTGCAGGACTTCAAGCGGCTAGCCGACACGGTGAAGCAGCTTCACCATGACTCGACCGTCAGAACCAAGGTAAGCCATGGTTTGTTGCAGTGCAGCGATGTTCTTCTCGGTTACGACTTACAATCACTACACAGAATGCATCACCTGCGCTTCTTGACCTTGTAACCACTCCCTGCTCGTCTTCTCCCTGCTCACAGCATGTGCGCTCCGTTCATCTGGCACCCCTTGCCTTGTTTCTTTCCAGGAAAAAGCTTTCATCAAGCGAGAGCGCGTGCGGCTGCGGGAGAAAGTGCAGAAGGCGGAGAGGAAGGGGCTTGCGTGTGATCGTCTGCTCCTGGCTCACGCATGTGTGCTTACTCCTTGCCCACCCCTTGCCCCTTCTTCCAGGAGAAAGCGTCCATCGAGCGAGAGCGGGTGCGGATGCAGGAGAAGGTGCAGAAGGCGGAGAGGGAGTCGCAGGTGCTGCGAGGGAGAGTGGGCGAGCTGGAAGAGCAGGTGCTGGCTCAGGAGCAGGAGCTGCAGGACGCCACCTACCGCATGGAGAAGGTGAGGGATGGGAGGCACAGGGGGCGCACGGTGCAAGGAAAAGGTGTGAGGAATGCGTGGAGAAGGCGAGGGGTTTGAGGGAGAGTGGGCGAGCTGGAGGAGCAGGTGCAGGCGCTGCAGGACGCCACCTACCGCATGGAGAAGGTGAGGCGTGGGGCAAGTCGTAGCAGAGGGATGGACGATAGTGGTTTGTGGAAGAGTGGGCGAGCTGGAAGAGCAGGTGCAGGCTCAGGAGCAGGAGCTGCAGGATGCCACCTACCGCATGGAGAAGGTGAGGCTTGTGGGACGCGTGGGGAGGGTGAGGCATGGAGCAGGTAGGAGCACGAGGACGGAAGATGAAGTGGGCTGTGAGGGAGAATGGGTGAGCTGGAGGAGCAGGTGCAGGCACAGGAGCAGGAGCTGCAGGATGCCACCTACCGCATGGAGAAGGTGAGACTCGGGGGACGCGCAAAGCAAACGGCGTAGTGGAAGCCGCGTGGAAAGTGAAGCGAGGGGAATTTGCGCGTTGGTTGTTCTTTCTGCAACTGAGTGCGCATTGCGCGTTGGCTGTGCAGGCTGTGCGGGAGGAGGAGCGGAAGAGCGTGGAGATTCAGCGGAGGCTGGGCGAGGAGTATCAGGCGGCAATGGACGGGCAGAACCGCCTGCAGGCAATGTGAGTGGCTCTGTCTTTCGGCTATGTATCTCCAAAGTCACCTCACAGGGTTGAGGCTGGGGGAGGAGTATCAGGCGGCCATGGACGGGCAGCACCGCTTGCAGGCGATGTGAGTGGCTCTGTCTTTCGTCTTTGAAGTGGCTCTGTCTTTTGGCTCAGTCTTTTGGCTCTGTCATTCCAAATCACCTCAGAGGAGTGAGGCTGGGAGAGGAGTATCAGGCGGCCATGGACGGGCAGAACCGCTTGCAGGCAATGTGAGTGGCTTGCTAGCGTTCACAGCAACGCTTTGAGGCGCCTTGGGGCACCTGCTTCATGTTATAGTCACAATAGGCTTGAATGTGCCTAAAACGAAAGATAGAGAGCACAGACGGATTTCTGCACAGCGGCTTCAAACGTTGATAGCGTTCTGCTCACAGCTGCAAATAACTTGATTCAAATTGGATCTGGAGCGTCTTCACGTCGTCTACAATTATCAATTTAGATTGCACGATTTGATAAAGAATTGACGACACAGCGTCGGTTTGAACGAACGGTACTATGGCAGCCACTATAGTCTTAGAACACAAGATAGGAAGAGTTACGAGTTGGGAATGACTCCCAGCTCCTACAAACCCCAAGAGCCGAGGTTTAGTGATGTGGAATAGTGCCACACTGTCCCCAACCACGAAGGGTCTCGAAACTACCCTTCACTAGGGCCTACACCAAGTGAAATGTTACACTACACAAAGTAATGTAACTATCTTCAATATCTTGAGGTGTACCCTTTTGGCGAGCTTCGAAATCACTTGAGGCTTGACACCAAGGCTCGGGCTCTTCATCACAAACTCATTCTTGAGTTCTTGATGGGTCTGCTGCACACACCTGCGACACGCCGAACGTTCGACACAGGACAAAATAGAAACCGCGCACGACAAAATAGAAACCGCGCGCGAGACACAAACGACCGCGTAACACGCGTCTAGCGATAACTCGCTATTGACTCGACACACACACTCGACATTATGACTCAACATTCACACACAATTATAAGCATGAAATATATATATTATCCCATGCCCTCATACCATTCCATACACACACACATTCACGCACACGGACAACAAGCCGAGTGCAAACCGTAGGGTTGCACCAACAAACTCCCCCTCGGATTGTTGGCATTAGGATATGTTGCTCTCTCAGTTCAGAGCCATCCCAGCCAGCTTGCAACACTTCCAATGCTGCTGCTCCACCAGCCTCTTGGTCATCATGTCAGCCGGCTGCCCCGTGGTCTTCACGTAGCGCAACTCAACTTCACCCGCGGTTACCATGCTCCTCGTCCAATGCCACTTCACCCTCATGTGCTTCGTGAGTCCATGCAACACAGGGTTCTTAGCAAGAGCAATGGCACCCTAGCTGTCACAGTACAGTGGGGTAGGTCCTTGCTGCTCCTCCCCCAATTCAGCCAACAAACGCCGCTGCCACACAATCTCCCGTACGGCACGGAAGAGTGCCATGTACTCGGACTCCACCGAGCTCAAAGCTTGGTCAACCTGCTTCTTGCTCTCCCAAGCAGTTGGGCCTCCACCAACACAGCATATGAAGTCTCCCACACTTGTCATGTCCTCTGGTTCTGATGCATATGAAGCATCCGAGTAGGCGGTGAGGAACAAACGCCCGGGTTCAACACCATCCGCGCCCTTTTGGCGCCTTTGTGCCGCCGCCGAGTATTGCAGCCCAACGGTCGGTGTTTGGCCAAGATACTTGGCCACCCTCATTCCAGCTGCTACCTGCTCCTCATTAGGGCATTGCACAACCCTAGCCAGCTGCCCGGTAGCAAACGCGACGTCCGATCGGGTGTTTACCGTCGCATACATGAGGCTGCCCACCAACGAGTGAAATCGGCACCTCTCCTCTTCACCAACGCTCTCCTCCTCTGGTCCCTTCACACACTTGAACCCAGAGGGAAAGGGTGTAGCCACATGGCCTTCACTCTGCCCAAAGTTGGCAGCCAATGCCTCCAGGTACTTTCGTTGATGCACCCGCATGCACCGCTTCTCCACATCTCGTTCGATGTGGAGCCCAAGGTAGAAGCTCACGTCACCAAGGGCCTTGCACTTGAACTTGTCTTGAAGCTTCAGCATCACCTCCTTCACAAGGTCAGAAGAGGGTGAGAAAATGAGGATGTCATCCACATAAACCACCATAAAACTCCTCTGCTCCCCCTCGCCAAGCATGAACAAGGAGTGATCGGCCGTTGAGGGAGTGAAGCCGATCCCCTCCAACACTTCCCGCAGCTTCATGTACCATTGCCTAGGGGCCTGCTTCAGCCCATAGAGGGCCTTCTTCAGCTTCCACACTCTGCCACTACCATCATCAAACCCCTCTGGCTGCGCCATAAAAATCTCCTCCTCAAGGATGCCGTTAAAGAATGCCGTTACGATGTCCATTTGCTTTACTACCCATCCTTTGATGGCGGCTCCCGCGAATAGGGTTTGCAGCGTCGTCGGCTTCACCACAGGGGCAAACAACTCCTTGAAGTCCACCTTCTCCTTCTGCTGGTACCCCTTGGCTACAAGCCTAGACTTGTAGCGCTCGATCTTGCCGTCGGCATCCGACTTGATTTTGAAGAGCCAGTTGGACGTTATCGCCGTACGCCCCTCCGGTAGCTCCACCAATTCAAACGTGTCATTCTCCTCGATGCTCTTCAGCTCACTCTCCATGGCCTTCTTCCACATCACTACTCTCCAAAGCCTCCTAAAGAGTTGCTGGTTCTCCCGGCATCTCCACCGGAGAGAAGAACGCGAAGGCACACTCCTCGTAGTCACTCTCCTCGTCGTCTCCGACCATCATTGCCGCTCCGGCCAGGGCTGTCTTGCCCTGCTTTCCCGGCGCATCATAGGTCAGCCTATTAGGGGGTTGAACTCTCCTCTTCCCCCTTCCTTCCTCCTCAGCTGCAGGGACTTGAAGGCCTTGGCGTTGCTGCGGTGTGGCTCGAATCCGTGGAGCACTCGTAGTACGGGAAGGAAGTGACGGTGCACGCTCGCTCACTTGCTGCACCTCCTCTTCTTCCTGTGCATCATTGGCCTCCTCTCCCCCATTCACAAGGGAGGATTGCCTTGTGGTTGTGCTGCCGCTGCTCAGTTCCAAAGGCAGCTCCACATGCTCCAAACCGGAACTCTTCACCTCCCCAAACCGCACGCCTATTTTCGCCTCATTCTCCGCCTTCCAATCCTTGTACATGAAGTTCTCCATGAACTTGCAGTCCCTGCTCACCAAGAACTTCTTGGTGAATGGGTCCCAAAGAAGCCATCCCTTGCTGTTTTGAGCCATGCCCAAGTGCACGGCCCACACCGCCTTGGCACCAAGCTTGTTGTGCCGAAAATGCTTAGGCACGAGCGCCATGAGCACCCGAACACCCGAAGCATATCCACCTTTGGCTTCCTTCCTAGCCACTCCACATAGGGCACCCATTTTTCTGCTCCCACATGAGTCAAGGCTCTGTTCTTGGCCACACACGCGCTCCGCACCGCATCAGGCCAGAAATAGTCGGGTAGCCCGGCTTCAATGAGCAACCCGCGTGCCGCCTCCGTGATTGTGCGGTTCGCTCGCTCGGCGATGCCGTTCATTGCAGGGGAGTATGGCATGGTGAGGGAGTGCCGAATACCATTCTTCTTCAGCCACAACCCAAACTCCTTGCTCAGGAACTCTCCCCCTCGATCGGTGCGGATTGACTTGACTAGACGGTCTTGTTGCCGCTCCACCATCAGGAACCAATCCGTCTTCAACGTTTCAGCCACGTCGCTCTTCTTGGCCAGCACGTACACCCAAGTCATGCGGGTGTAGACGTCGACAATGGTGAGAAAATACTCAGCTCCAGCAGCTCCAAGCTTCAGGGGGCCCACCACGTCCATCACCACCTCATCAAGCGGTGCCTTTGCCGTTGCCTCCGAACTAGGGAACGGAAACCGGGTGAACTTGGCTTGAATGCACGTCGGGCAGCCAAGCACCTCATCGGGCTCCCCCTTCACACGTATGCCAGCAACCATCTCATTCTTCACTAACTGCTGCAAGATGGGCAGGGCCACATGCCCCATGCGCCGATGCAAGGTGAGTCAATCACACTCCCCCGTAGCCGAAGTTGGATTGGAGAATGCCGCGCTCGCAATAGCGCCCCACATACTCTCTCCGTAGTCCTCCTCCGCTGCTGCCTCTGGGTTCTCCTCACCCTTTTGCTGCTCCTTGGTTGCTGCACCACTCTCCTTAGGTTCACTGAACTTGCTGGTCCCTCCAGGTTTGCTCTTCTTGAGCTCATTCTCCTTAGCACGACCGTTCGCGCCATCGTCGCTACCGACCGCTCCATCCTTGGTGCTGATGCTTGCTGCCACTTGCCTCTCCTTAGGCATAGGGACCACTGGGATCTGCCACATCTCGTTGTAGACATCCCTGTCCTCATGAAGGTCCCAAAGAATTCGATCGCCAAGCCTTGCGGTGTAGGTCTTGGCTCCCTTCGAGTTCGTGTCCATGCCGGCCTTTGCCAACCGCCGCACGGAAATCAGGTTTGCAGCAAGGCTGGGCACCCAAAGCACGTTCTTGAGGCCCACCATCTTCCCATCAGCACCCTTGAACATGGCCTTGCCCATGCCTTTCACCTCTGCTCGCTGCCCCAAAGCCGATGTGACATGCTTCACCGGTGACGGCTCGAGTTCGGTGAGCAAGTCCAGGCGAGGTGTCATGCTACAGGTAGCGCCACTATCAATCACCCAATAGTCCAGGGGGTGTAGGGTCACCTTCCCCACAGCTGCTGGCTCCTCAAAGCCTTCATCCTTCTCTGGACCAGCCGGTACTTGCGTCGACACGAAGTAGAATAGACCCGGGTATCGATCGTCGCTCGGGTCCTTGTCGTTGTCTCCGTTCTTCATGTTTGCAGCTCCGCCACCGCGACCGCCACGGCCGCCACGGCCTCGTCCTCTCCCTCCTCCTGCTCCTCTACCCTCTTGGCCTTGAGCAGGGGTCCAACCATCAGGGAGTTTGTAGCAGTCGCGCCACATGTGTCCGCTCTTGTGGCAATAGTGACACTCGCCGTCGAATCGGCCGCGACCGCGTCCGTAGCTCTTGTCGTCGCTGCCGTAACCGCCACTCCTGTGGCCTCCGCCGAAGTTGCTGCCACCAAACCTTCCTCCCCCTCGTCCTCTGCCTCTTCCTCGACCATATCCACGGCCGATGCTCGCTGCCCCAGCGCCATCCGCACTCGCCAACTCACGGCGGCGGAAATCCTCTTGAAGGATAGCTCGCTTCACGTCTTCAAGCGAGAGGCGGGGCAAGTCGCGATTAAGGTTGATGATGAGCGAGGACCATGACTCTGGGAGTAAGGCCAGCAACTTGGTCTTCTTTTGGAGCTCACTGTAGTTCAAATCAGCTCCCTCAAGTCGCGTCAACAAGTCGAAGAATTTCTGCACCCCTTCTTCAACCGCTTCGTTTTCTTCAATTCGTAGTGCCGCCATTTGCCGTTCCAACACCACCGCTACCGCCGCTGTTGCAGGAACATGTACACCCTTGAGAGCAGCCCATGCCTTTGGTCCTTTCTCTGGTTCACGCTGGAATGGCTTGATGTGACGGATCTGACTGCTCCCCAACGCTTGCCCAAGTAAGAGATAGCCTTGTGCGCTCTTCCGCACCCACGGGCTCTTCTCCGGGTCGTTCTCGGGGCGCTTCTCCGTTCCTTCCATCACCTCCAGCAGGTCATAGTGGTCAAAGATGTTCTCCATCTTGAAGGACCATTCAGCAAAGTTGTCACCGTTGAACTTGTCAAGCCCAAACACCCTAGGCTCATCCCTAGGTGGGCCAAGACTTGGTTGCATGGGCGCCATGGTTGAATCACGGGGTTGGCCTTGAGCTTGAGCTTCTCCACTGCCACCAGCACCTCTGCCACCCCTTTCCTCAGGTCCAGACATTCTCGAAACTGCTCCAAGGGCTCTGATACCACTTGTTATAGTCACAATAGGCTTGAATGTGCCTAAAACGAAAGATAGAGAGCACAGACGGATTTCTGCACAGCGGCTTCAAACGTTGATAGCGTTCTGCTCACAGCTGCAAATAACTTGATTCAAATTGGATCTGGAGCGTCTTCACGTCGTCTACAATTATCAATTTAGATTGCACGATTTGATAAAGAATTGACGACACAGCGTCGGTTTGAACGAACGGTACTATGGCAGCCACTATAGTCTTAGAACACAAGATAGGAAGAGTTACGAGTTGGGAATGACTCCCAGCTCCTACAAACCCCAAGAGCCGAGGTACAGTGATGTGGAACAGTGCCACACTGTCCCCAACCACGAAGGGTCTCGAAACTACCCTTCACTAGGGCCTACACCAAGTGAAATGTTACACTACACAAAGTAATGTAACTATCTTCAATATCTTGAGGTGTACCCTTTTGGCGAGCTTCGAAATCACTTGAGGCTTGACACCAAGGCTCGGGCTCTTCATCACAAACTCATTCTTGAGTTCTTGATGGGTCTGCTGCACACACCTGCGACACGCCGAACGTTCGACACAGGACAAAATAGAAACCGCGCACGACAAAATAGAAACCGCGCGCGAGACACAAACGACCGCGTAACACGCGTCTAGCGATAACTCGCTATTGACTCGACACACACACTCGACATCATGACTCAACATTCACACACAATTATAAGCATGAAATATATATATTATCCCATGCCCTCATACCATTCCATATACACACACATTCACGCACACGGACAACAAGCCGAGTGCAAACCGTAGGGTTGCACCAACACTTCAATTGCCTCTCTTGGTTTCCTCTCTTGTTTCCCGCTCTTCTGTGTGTCAGGCTGGAGAAATATTGCATCATTTGGTTCCCTGTCGCAATCACCTCTCTTGTGTGTGTCAGGCTGTAGAATTATCGCGTCACTTGATTCCCTGACTGAATCACCTCTCTTGTGTGTGTCAGGCTGTAGAATTATCGCGTCACTTGATTCCCTGACTGAATCACCTCTCGCATGTGTGTGTCAGGCTGGAGGATCAGGGGAAGCGGGTGGATGAGCTCACGACGCTGCTCAGCCAAAAGGGGTTGGAGTGCAAGGAGGCTTTCCAGAAGCTACATTCAGTGAAGGAAGGTGACAAAGAGCATTGCCTTGAGCCCTCTGATCGGAAATCTCACAGAAGCCAGTTTTCGTCAAGGAAGGTGAGATTGAAGGCAATGCAGGTGGCACAGGAGCACAAGACGGGATGATAGGCTGGATGATTTTTGAGGCGCCTAGAAAAAACCGTCAAGGTGGGATAGAAGGCAATGCGGGTTGCGCAGGAGCACAAGAGCGAGGATAGGCTGAAAGTGTGGCTCTTCCACAAGGGGTTGAGGTGATACTCGGAAGGGGGAGGGGGATACTCGGAATTCGACGTCTTGCAGTCTTTTTCTCTCCTGACTTGGCTTTCGAAGGACAAAATGCACCAAGCTGTCGCTCAGCGCTTTTTGAAGCGCCTCAAAAAGCTTAGGACTGGCTTCTAACCCCTCTTCTGTCTCTCTTTCCTCCTTTTCTGATCTGTTTCCTCCAGAGAATAGCAAGCTCCGGCGAAGGCTCAAGGCGACTGCTTTGGCCCAAAGCTGCGAGGCAGGCTCGGGAAGCTCGGACCTGCGGGAGGCTCTGGCTCGGGCGGAGAGGCAGCTGCTGGAGAAGAAGCAGCAGGTGGAGGTGGCAGAGGCTCTTAACGAGGAGCTCAAGGAGCAGGTGCGTGCTGCGTGCTGGTGGGAATGGGCGGGCGTGAGTGTTGGTGGGAATGGGCGGGCGCACATGTGGGTGGGACTGGGCGGGGTTGGGCTGTTGGGCGATGTATTTAAACAAGGGATTGAAGGAAGAGGTGGGTGGGAACGGGCGGGAGTGGTTGAGGGGAGAGGGACAGGATGACTAAGGGAGGATCACGGGAGAGTGGGAATTAGAAAGAGAAGCTTGAAGGAGTGTAAGCAAGGCTCAGGTGAATTGACAAGGTTCGACTTACACTCCATGCTTCATCTGTACTGTGCAGGTGAAGCACCTGATAGGACAGGAGAATCTTCAGGTGTTTCTGCAACCCTTGGCTGACTTGAACTATTTCTTCTTACCCATTATCTCCAGGTGAAACACCTGACGGGGCGGCTGAGCCAGGAGGATCTTCAGGTGTTTCGGCAGTCCTTCAAGGGGCGGTTGGCAGCAGCAGAGCAGTGTATATCGGAGCAGGAGCAGAAGAGCAAAGCACTCAGTCACGCTGCAGAGGCACATATGGGACTAGGGGAGAGATTGAAGGAGGTGGAGGAGGAATGTGGGAGATGGAGGGAGATCGCAAGAGAGAGCGAGATAATGGCGGGTGGGGCGGAAGAGGCGCGTAGGCTTGCAGTGGAGCAGCTTGAAACGAGGATGCGGGCGTGGGAGAGGGAGAAGGAGGAGCTTGTGCGGAGAATGGAGGAGTTGGAAGGGGTGGAGAGGGAGAATGGAGAGAAGAAAACAGAGGGAGTTAAGGAGCAGTTGAAGATAGCAGAGGAAGAGAGGGAGGAGATGCGGAGGCGTCTGGAAGAAGCTTTAGAGGCTTGTTCTGAGAGTGAAGCTCTAGTGGATGCTATTGAAAAATCCAGGGAAGGGCTTAAGCAGGAAGTGCAGGGGTTGAGTGAGAGGAATCGGGAGATTGAGGCGGAGCTGGAGAGTGTGAGGGAGAGTGTGAGGGAGCGAGTGAGGGAGGCGGAGGAGGCAGTGGAAGAGGCGAAGAGAGAGTGTGAGGAGATGCGGCGGAGGGTGGAGGAGGGGAGGAGGGCAGAGAGGGAGAGGGAGGAGGAGGTGGAGAGGCTAAGGGATCAAGTGAGAGAGGCTGTAGAGAGGAAAGAAGCCGAGGGGCAACAGAGACTGCTGGAGGCGGAGGGACAAGTGAGGGAGGCGGAGGGACAACTGAGGGAAGCTGAGGAGAGGATCAAAGAGCTGAGGGAGAAGGAAAGGGGGGTGCAGAGGGAAATGGAGAGTGTGAGGGAGGAGCTAGAAGCGAAGGAGAGGGGGGTGGAGGAGCGGGATGAGAAGGTGAGGGAGCTTGAGCAGCAGATTGAAGGGCTTCAGGAGGAGGTGGATAGGGAGAGGGAGGCTGCGAGGCGGGCAGAGGCAGAAAAGCAGGAGATTTCTCAGAGGATTTCTCAGGAGATTTCTCAGGAGATGGAAGCACGGGTTGAGAGGTTGGAGGAGCAGGTTAGGGGGCTGGAGGGGGAGGTGGAGAGGGAGAAGGAGCGAGTGGTGTGTGTGGAGATTGCTCTGAGGAGGAAAGAGGAGGAGGTGCAGAGCGGTAGAGAGGAGCGGGAAGGGATGGAGAGGGAGATCGAGAAAATGAAGGAGAAGGTTGAGGAGGAGGTGAAGGAGAGAGAGGAGGCGGAGGGGAAAGTGCGTGAGGTGGAAGAGGAGAAGAGGAGAGGAGAAGAGGAGAGAGAAAAGGAGGTGGAAAACTTGAGGGGAGAGGTGGAGAGGCTTGAGAAAGAGGTGGAGAGGGTTCGGAAGGAGTTGGAGGGAGTGAGAGGGCAGGTGGTGGGGGAGAGTGAGGTGAGGCGAAGGCTGGAGACTGTAGAAGGGGAGTATGGCCGATTGAGAATGGAACTTTCGACGAAAGTGAGGGAGGCTGCAGTAGAGAGAGAAGCGAGGGAGGAGAAAGAGAGGGAGTTGCAGGAAGTAAGGGAGGCAGCGGTGGTTGCGACTGAGGAGTGGAAGAAGGAGTTGGGAGAGGTTGAGAGGGTTATGGGGGTGATTCGGGAGGAGCGGGAGGCGGTGCAGAGGGAGTGTGAGCGGTTGAGGCAAGAGGCGGAGGAGAGGGAGGTGCAGGTGAGGCTCTTGGAAGGGGCAAGAGATGATGTGGTTGCTGCGATGGGAGGGATTCGGGATGAGAAGAGAAAGGTTGAGAGGGATATGGAGGAGCGGATTGAAGCTCTGAAGGTGGAGGTTGAGGAGGTGAGGAGGAAGGGGGAAGAGGAGAGGGAGGCGTGGGAGAGGGAGAGGAAGGAGAGAGAGGAGGAGAGGAAGGAGAGGGAGGAGGAGAGGGAGGAGGAGAGGCGTGTTTTGGAGGGGGAGAGGAGGCAGTGGGAGGAGGAGAGAGAGAGGATGGAGGAGGAGAGGGGGAAGATGGAGCAGGAGAAGGGAAGGATGGAGGAGGAAAGGAGGCGGTGGGAGGAGGAGGTGGGTGCGGCGAGAGAGGCAGTGGAGGAGGCAGAGGGGAAGGCGAGCGCCGCAAGAGAGTTGGTGGATGAGCTACAGAGACAAGTAGAGAGCGTGCAGAGAGAGAGAGAGGCGTTGCAAGGAGAGGCTGATGCGCTGAGGGAGCAGCTGAGGGAGGCAGCGGAGGAGGCGGAGGGGAAGGCGAGCGCTGCTAGGGAGTTGGTGGATGGGATGCAGAGAGAGATTGATGCGCTGCAAGGAGAAATCGAGGTGCTCAGGGAGCAGGGGCAGGGGGAGGGGCAGCAACAGCCACATCAGCAGGAGCAGGGGAATGGAGGAGAGGCAAACGACATGATTGAGCTGGTGAGTGGTAGTATAAGGTGTGATACTACCGGGAGCGAATGAAACGTTGTTTGATCAAATCTGGTAATTCCACATTCACTCATATCCTCTCCTTTGCCTCTGCTTTTGAGGCGCCCAAAAAAAATCACCGTTGTCCTTCCCTTCGCTGCTGGCCCAGCTCAGCCACTTGTGTTTTTATTGGTGCGACTTTTGAGAATTCTCAAAAGTCAAACCAATATGTTTGTTCTTCCCTTCGCCGCTGGCCCAGCTCAGCCACTTGTCTTTTTAGATGTCGCACACCCATGTTCACTCCGCCAACCAACTGTTTTCCTTCGGCCATCCCCCTGCCCGTTTTTTCCCGTGCACGCCAGGTGGAGGAGCTCAGGGAGCAGCTGAGGGAGGCTGAGGAGGCGCTGAGTATGAACGAGACGAACCTGTTGTTGAGCCAACTTGAGTCATATTTATTTTGCCTATCCCGCCCCACATTTCCCCCATGTAAAACAGGTGGAGGAGCTGAAGGAGCAGCTGAGGGAGGCGGAGGAGGCTCTGAGCATGAACGAGACGAACCTGTCGGCTTCCGACTGGGCTGTGCAGCAGCTGGCAGGGGAGCTGTCGACTGTGAAGAGGGTGAGTGGATTGAGGGGTAAGGATGGCTTGTGAATGGGTGAAGGCCAGCCTCTTGCAGAGCTGCAGGACAGGTTATCAGTTCTCGATCATGCAGTGGAGGAGAAGGAGAGGGACCTGGAGAGGCTGGCAGCAGCTCTGCAGGAGGCCAAAAAGAAGCGGATCAACCACGAGGCCCGAAGGCAGCCCCGCTGATGCCTGCCCCCTTTTCCTCCCCTCCCTCCCCCAACAGAAACTGGTGGAGAAGGAAAAGGAATTAGCCGAGCTGCAGGACCGGTTATCAGTTCTCGATCATGCAGTGGAGGAGAAGGAGAGGGACCTGGAGAGGCTGGCAGCAGCTCTGCAGGAGGCCAAAAAGAAGCGGATCAACCACGAGGCCCGAAGGCAGCCCCGCTGATGCCTGCCCTCCTTTCCTCCCCTCCCTCCCCGCTCCCACCCCCAACAGAAACTGGTGGAGAGGGAAAAGGAATTAGCCGAGCTGCAGGACCGGTTATCAGTTCTCGATCATGCAGTGGAGGAGAAGGAGAGGGATCTGGAGAGGCTGGCAGCAGCTCTGCAGGAGGCGAACAAGAAGCGGTGGGCGCGGGCACAGCAGATCAAACAGATGGAAGCCGAGATGGCGGCACTAAGAGGGCAGGTGGGGAATTTGGGAAGCGGGAATGAGGTGGAGTCACCACAGGCGGGTGGTGCAGCAGGGAAGAGTGAGGCTGGACGGGAGGGCGAGAGGGAGAAGGAAGAGGAGGTGGTGGAGAGGCAGGGGCAGGGACAGGAGCAGACGCAGAAGCAGGAGGAGCAGGGGCAGGATCAGAAGCAGGAGCAGGAGGGGCAGGGGCAGGATACGGAGAGGGAGTTGAAGGAGGCAAGGGAGGCGGTTCAGCGATTGCTGTTAGAGGTGGAAGAGGGGAGAAGGGAGGTGGAGGAGAGGAGGAAAAGAGAGGAGGAGCTGAAGGAGGAGGTGGAGGAGGGAAGAGAGAGAGTGAGGGAGGTGGAGGGACAGCAGAGAGAGGCGGAGAGGCGAGTGAGGGAGTTGGAGGAGGAGGTGTGTGGGTTGAAGGGGGTGATGGAGAGGAGGGGCGAGGAGGAGGAGGAGAGAGTGAGGGAGGTTGAGCAGAAGCGAGGGGAGGCTGAGAGGCGAGTAATGGAGTTGGAGGGGCAGCTTTCAGAGATGAAGGAAGATTTGGAGAGGAAGGAGGCTGCTACTGCTCTTGCTGCTCAAGCTGCTGCTGCGTCTGATGCTGCTACATCTGATGCTGTTGCAGCTGCTAGTTCTGCTGCTGCCGCTGCTGTTTCCCTCTGTGCTGCTTGCAATGGCGCTGCCAGTGTTGGCGGCATCGCTGCTGCTAGCCCTGCTGCTGGTGCTGTTGCCAGTGCCATTGCCAGCGCCGCTGCTGCTGGGACCTGGGGCGCAGGGGAGGAGGGGCGTATATGGGAGCTGCGCGCCAAGCAGCTGGAAAAGGCCGTGGAACGATGGAAGGAATTTGAAGCAGCAGCCAGGCGTGAGGCCAAGTCCCGGAGAGAGGAGTTGGAGCTCAATAGCAGGCTACTGGCTGATGCTGTGAGCCTGAACGATGAAAACGAGGTGACCCTGAAACGCCTAAGGGATGAGGTGCTTGCTCTGAGGGAGAAACTGGAGGGTGTGGAGGCAGCGAGAGAGAAGGAGAGGAGAGGGGGAGGGGGAGTGGGGAGTGGGGGGGAGAGAGGGGGTGGAGGAGGGGGAGAGGGGGAGCTGGGGCGGTTGAGGGAGGAGGTGAAGGGTCTGAGGGCGAAGCTGCGGGTTGCTGAGATGGAGTGGGAGAGTGAGAGGGCGCAGAAGGGGCGGGCGGAAGAGGCGCTGGCAAAGTACAGGAGGAAGCTGAGTGAACGGGAGGAGGAGCTTCATGATGCCCTGGATAGTCTCTCTGCTGCTGCTGCCGCTGCTGGTGGTGGTGGTGGTGTCGGTGCTTCTAAGGAGGATACAGCAGCAGCAGCTGTGTTACAGGAAAGGGTGTTTGCTCTTGAAAGGTGCGTTGCTGGATATGCGGTATGGGTCTGGGGTATGGGGTGTGGCTTGAAGTATAGATGGAAGCTGATTGAAAGAGAGAGGAGCTTCATGACGCTCTGGGTAATTGTTGAGAATTCTCAAAAATCGCTCTGGGTAGACTCTGCTGCTGCTGCTGCCACCGCAGCATGCAGACCCGTTTTTTGCTGCCTCATTTGGCCTTAGCTTCATGTCCCCACTGTATTAATTTCCCTCTTTCTTTCTCTCCCCGTCTCTCTCCCCTCTCTCTCGCCCTCTCTCTTGCCCGTCATGCCTTCCCATTACAGGGAAAAGACGGACCTTCTTTTCCAGCTGGAGCAGCAGCAACACACCGATCGCCTTATGGCTGCCTCTGGCCTCACCCCTGCTCGATCCCACCTTCTGTTGCAAACACCTGCTAAGACGCCTGCTGCGACGCCTGCTAAAACACCTGCAATGGCACCTGCCAGAACACCTGCTAAGGCTGACTTCATGGCTACAACAGGCCCCACTACTGCAGCAGCTGCAGCAGCTACAGCCGCTACAATCACCTTTGGTGCCGAACCGAAATCGCCTCTTGCTTTCGGAGCTAATGCAGGGACGCTCATGGCTTTCAGTGCTCAAGCTAAGTCGCCCACCCCTTTCAGAACCCAAGGTGCCTCTCCTGCAGATACGGGAGGTGCTGTCAAGTCCCCCTGGCGGCGCCGGGCGGCTGAGAAGGTTCCTGGAAGTTCTCCGTGGAGGAGGAATTTGCAGGGGGTGGGTGCGGGGGTGGTGGGGGCCTTGGCAGGTGTTGGGAGTGGGGGAGGTGGGGAGGGAGGGAACGTGGATGAAAAGGAGGAGGGACAGAAGCAGGAGACGAGAGTGGGTTTGGAGGAGGAGCAGAAGCGGGAGGAGGTCGGGGTGGGTGAGGAGGTGAAGAACCTAATGCAGGAAGGGGAGCAGGAGGCTGAAACGCCAAAGAAAAGTCTGGAGCAGGTGCAAGAGCAGCAGGAGGAAGAGCCTGGTAGCGGTGACCTTGAGATGGTGAGGTGTGCATCTCTCTCCCCCTCGCCCTCACAAAACATCATCCCGGCCAACTCTCTCCAGAAAGCCAGCTCGGAGAAGCATTTGCATCGGATCAGAAGGCAAGCAGAGGGGCCGGATAACAAAGAGGGAGGGGGCGAGCTTGGGAGTGGTGGTGCATGGGTAGGGAGGGATGGGAGTGGGAGTGTGGAGAGGAAGGGGGGAGGCAGTAGGGAGGTGGAGGGTGGGGGGGATGACGGGTCGCCTTCTAAGCGTGTGCGGCTGTCCATGCTGAGATGAAACTGTGCAGAGGCTGAGATGAAACTGTGCAGAGGCTGAGATGAAACTGTGGAGAGGCTGAGATGAAACTGCACTGTCTGACGGTGAAGTCCCTGGTAATTGCTACAGCTGACTTCGGTAGGTTGGGATATGACCTGGTCCTGGGGGAATGGGAGTCATGACATGACTCATGTGGCACCTGTGAAGTTTGGGTTGGGTTGGGATATTCCAACCCTGAACCTTCACGGTGCCATGGAGTAATTTAAGCTGCTTACCGGTAGTAGTGGATCTTTGCATATTTCGGGGTTTAGATCTTAGTGACAGTAGCACCGTACCTGGCCCAGTGTAAATGTGTCAAATGAATCAGATCCTTTCTGATTCATGTAGGTCTACCAGTGCTTTATTGTGGAAACTGTGTATACATGTTCAGATGGTACTTTATTCCATGCGTCAGCATCCCACTGAACGAACACCTTAGCATCAGGGTGCTACTACCCATGAAGCAAACCCTGAACCCGTTGAGAATAAGAGTAATTTACTCATGAACGCTTTTGGGCTGAGAATAGCCCGTGAAATCTACCGAGTCTGAAACCAGGCCCTGATACCAGTGTTATTAAATTTAGGGGATCAAAGTGTTACCTTACTACCACAAAAGCCTATATCAAAACAAACACACGTAGCTTTTACGTGGTGGATGGATATTATTTCTTCCAGAGCTTGTTCATAAAACCGGAAGAACGCTGAAACGGCAGGGGCGTGGGAATGGGAAGAGACAAGTAACACACAGGAGGATAGAGAGATGGAATGGAGCACATACCGTAGAAGGGCCGAGAGTCAGAGACCTAACCGGCAAGCACACACAAGCATATGCGCACAAGCACAAGCATCAATAAGCAGGAGAAGAGACAAGAAGAGACGAGGGAAGAACGCACATGACTCTATGCATGACACGGTGACTCCATGCCTTACGCCCTACCTTCTTTTCTTGACCATGCCCTGCCATGGCCATTGCTCCTGCTCCTCCTCCTGCTCCTCCTCTTGCTCCTCCTCCTGCTCCTGCTACTCCTCCTGCTCCTCCTGCTGCTCCTGCTCCTGCTCCTGCTCCTGCTCCTGCTCCTGCTCCGTGTGCCCAGCCATTTCCACCGTATCCACTACCATTTCCACCATATCCATTACCATTCCGTCCGTACCCACCACCGTTTGCCGCACCACCCCTACCACCAGGTTTTGCAGCAGCAAAAGCAGCTGCAGCCGCCGCCGCTGCAGAAGAATCAGCAGCAACATCGGCAGGGGAGGCGGGCGGGAGGGTGGCAAGGTGAGGAGGATTGGGAGTGTGTTTAGGGGGGGGGCGACCTGCTGCTACAGCCGCGATGTTAAGAGCTGCAGAGGCGAAGGGGTTGGAGCCAGGTGTGTGAGAGGCAATACCCCTGGCTAAACCACCACCAGCACCGAAACCACCGCCAGCACCAAAACCACCACCAGCACCAAAACCACCGCCAGCACCAAAACCACCACCAAAACCAGCCTTCCCACCAAAACCATTTCCGGGACCAAAAGCCGGGAAGGAAGGAGCGCCTCTCAACACAGGTGCACCCTCCAACAGGGGAGCACCCCCCAACAGCGGCGCACCCCCCAACCCAGGAGCACCCAACCCAGGAGCGCTGGGAAAGCCGGCAACAGGAGTAGAAGGGCCGAAGGCAAGATGAGGAGGGCCGAAGGCAGAGGCAGGGGGAGGAGCAGCACTTCCTAAAGCACGACCGGAATCCTCTGCACCACTTGATATCGCACCAGAATCACCCGAACCGCTTGAAACCTCACAAAACTCATTAGCTGCAGACAATCTGTCACCCCCCACAGGCCCTGATGGTAAGCCCACCCCTCGATCCTCCCGTTCGCTACCAGCAATGGTATAAGTACCCTCATCATAATCAGTCCCGTTATAAGCACTCTCCTTGTCAGCATCCCCGTCGCTTATGTCGTGAAAACTCTCGTTATAAGCACTCTCATCACAAGAACTGTTTCTTTCAAAAACACCTTGCTGCCTCCCATCCCAGCCCCAAAAGAGGGTTTCACCTTCCGAGCCAACAATTTCTGCTGAAACACTTCTGTAAACCCCCCTCCTCCCTCCTCACCTTCCTCCTCTTCCTCCTCCTCATCCTCTCTGCCAGCACCCCTGAAACCACACCTCTCCACCTCCCCATCTCCTCGCCGTACACCTCTTCCTCCTCTCCACTCTCCTTCACTAGACTCGAAGCTCTGTCGACCACCATAAGCCCTCTCCATATAAGCATCCTCGTTACAAGCACTGCTCTGCTCATCAATTCGACCCGGCCTCCCAGCTTTAAACAAGGGCTTGGCCATTCGAGCCAGCCCCATCCTCTGAAACTTCTCAGTAGCGCCTCCCCACTCCTCCCCATCCTCCTGCTCCGGGTGTAGGTTCGGATTGGCAGCTCCGGCTCCAGCTATGCTTTCCAAACCACCTGCCACGTTTGCCAAACCTGCTCTTGTCAAACCACCTGCCACGTTTCCAGAACCTGCCCTTGCCAGACTTCGGAGTGGGGATTTGGGCCCCACAGGGTATAAGGCCCCGAAACCTTTTGGCACCGAGACTGATTTCATAAAAGGCAGTTTTCCGAACTTACTAGGTTTGGTATGCGGCGCCAACGCATTTCCACCAGAAGCAGCAGCAGCGGCAGCGGCAGCACCACCAGCACCAACACCAGCACCACCAGCATCAGCAGCATCAGCCCTTGCTGCAGCTACAGCATTAACAAGAGCTGCTGTGAGCGACTCAGGTGCTTCCTCCTCCATCCCACCTGCGAGTTCAGCTGCTGCTACCCTCAGCAAGTAGCTTTCCCGGGCCCCATCACCAGACCCTGCCTCTCCAGCACCTGAATATGCACCTGTGTAAGCAAATTCTCCTTCTGCTGCTGCTGCTTCCACGTCAGCAAGAGCTGCCTCTAAAGCCGCCGCTGCCCCCTCCTCCATTGCATCTGCTGCTGCAGCTGCGGCTGATGAAAAACGGCAGAGAGATACATTATTGGCTGAAGAAGCTGCGCCAGGCTTTTTCTCAAGTGCCCCATAGAACCCCAGACCAGGCCCCACTGCTGCGTCAGGTGAATCCTCAGGTGCCAGTGCTGCTGGTGCTTCTCCTCCCTCTCCTCCCTCTCCTCCCCCTCCCTCTCCAACACTCAACGCTGCAGTCATCCTGAGCACCTGTGCTTTCCACTGCTCCAACAGCAATGCCTCATCTTCCTCCTCTTCATCTTCCTCTCCCTCCTCCTCCGCCTCCTTGCCTTCGTCCTTTTTGCTTCCCCCTTCTTTCCCACCCTCCTCAGCTTCCTCCCCTTTCATCCACCCATCCTCCTCCCCTTCCTTCCCCTTCCCCTCCTCAGCCCCCTGCTTTATGAATTCTTCCTTGTTCATGCACCTTCCCTCCTCGCCTTCCTTCCCCATTCCCTTCTCAGCTTCCTCTTCGATACTCCACCCAGCGTGCTCCCTAGCAGCAGCACAAGACGCAGTTTGAGGCGCCTCAAAACTAGCAGCAGCACTAGACGCAGCTGCAGGCATGATAGATGTGGCTGGGGTAGCGGTTAGGGGTGCAGGGCTAGGAGGTAGGGGGCCAGAAATAGCGGGTAAAGGGGCAGGGGTAACAGGTAAGGGGGCAGGGGCCGCAGTCAGTGAGGCAGGGGTAGCAGGTATTGGCGTAGCAGCAGCAACAGGAGCAGCAGCAGCAACAGGAACAGCGGCAGCAGCAGCAGCAGCAGCAGCAGCGACAGCAGCAGGCGATGCAGCCATGGGAGCAGCAACAGAAGAGGAAAGGGGTGGGATGGCAAGGGGGAGAGCGTTTTGGCTGCCCAGGACGAGCTGAACGCGCTGCAGCTGCTCCAGTAGTTGCATCTGCAGCAGCTGCAGCTCCTGCATCGTCGGCATTCCCTCTGCTGCGGCCGCTGCTGCTGGCGCAGCCGCTGCTGCTGCTGATGTTGCTAGTGGTGGTGCTGCTAGGGGTGGTGCTGGTAGGGGTGGTGCTGGTAGGGGTGGTGCTGCTGCTGCTGATGGCACAACCATTGCACCCGCTCCTTCTGCTTCTCCAGCTGGACTCACCAAGTGTGCCACCGTGTTGCTGGGAACATTGTGAATGGTAATTGTGTTATTGATAACAGCGTTACGGGTAACAGCGCTCCTGGGAACAGTGTCGCTGGTAACTGTGTAACTGGTAACCGTCTTATCAATAACCGTGTCGTTGATAAAGTTGTCCCCAACGCTGCTAGCTGAGGCAGATGCAGCATCATCGTCGTTGGTGCTGCTGCCACTAAAAATGGGTGCTAGTGGTGCCCCTCCGATGCTCCCTAGCATTTCTCGCCCGATTTGATCCTGCGTGATTTGCTGCTGCTGTTGCTGCTGAATGCGCTGCCGCTGCTGCTGTAAACGCTGTTGCTGCTGATAAGCCAGTTGCTGCTGCTGCTGCTGCTGCTGCTGATGATGTAAACGCTGTTGCTGCTGAGAAGCCAGTTGCTGCTGCTGCTGCTGATATGCCAGTTGCTGCTGTTGCTGCTGATTGTGCCGCTGTTGCTGCTGCTGATACGTCAATTGCTGCTGCTGCTGCTGATAATACGCCCGCTGCTGCTGCTGCTGCTGATGCTGCTGCTCCTGGTGAAGCCTTTCATTTAAGCCTGCGATCGAATCCCCTGCCATTCGCGGTGCCACCCCATATGCCTGCTGGCTTGCCCCTGATTCCTGCAGGCTTGCCCCTGACGGCTGCTGGCTGAGTCCTGACGGTTGCTGGCTGATTCCTGACGGCTGCTGGCTAAGTCCTGACGGCTGACGGTCAATTCCGTATGCCTGCCGGTTCGAACCTGACGACAGCAGGCTATCACGCGATGACTGTAAGCTCGCACCTGACGACAGCATGCTAGCACCTGACGACTGCCGGCTGATCCCTGACTGCTGCGCTCGCACACCATACTGCTGAGCCCTCTCACCGTACTGCAGAGCCCTCCCACCGCTCTGTTGAGCCCTCTCACCGTACTGCAGAGGCCTCTCACCGTACTGGATCCTCTGCCCATACCGTGGGGACGCTGGGTCCCCTCCCCTTCCCGATTCGCCTCCAGAAGACTGCTGGCTAGCCCCTGACCCTTGACGTCCCAGGGTGGACTGAGGCGTTAAGGCAGTCCCTCCAAGTGCTGCTCGCACTTCAGCTTTCTTTTTGAATACTTGGGTGTACCCGCCATCCTCATCCCCGTTATAACCCGCCCCGTTTGGCGCGCCTGCGCGCGTCTTTCCAGGAGCGGGAGCGGGAGTAGCGGAGTGTTTGTTCCCCCAGTCGCCGAAGGAGGGGAGGGCCACGCTCGAGGCGGATGTCTGACAGCGGGCGGAGGGGGAAAACGGAAGGGGGGAGGAGGCGGAGACATTTAAAGAAGGCAGTTACGAAAGACGAGGTTTAATAAAAGAGCCAGGTCTAATTGCGGGAGCGAAAAAGTAGTGTTTGGCGAAAACTAGTTGTTGTTGGAAACTTACCTTGTTTTTTTCGCTCTTCAGGCTCATTGTTGTCTCTCTTCTCATCTCACAATTCTCAATATTCGATCGCAATATCGTCTCTTGTATATATCACTATCGTCGCTCTTGCTCGGCTACATCAACATCAATATCTCATTTCTCACAACTAATGCTCTTATAGGACACTTACAATGTCTTTCACAAAAACGAACCTTTCCTTTGAGACGATTCTTGAAGACGATCCCTCCCTTTTTACTGCTGACGTGGCTGCCTGACCCGAAGCTCTCATTGGAACTGATGCTTCTAGATTCATCGTCCATGGCTTTGTCAGGAAATGACACGTGGCTGTGGATGCAAAGGAGAGAAGCTCTTCAGAGCGTGTCGAAGAATATATCTAAATATTAAGAGAAAGACCGTGACCACGTTGGTAGTAACGAGACTCGAGTGTAAGCAAGCAGCTCATGCTGGAACGTGGGGAGCAACTGAGAAGCGAGCTAGAATAACAAACGATGTAACTATTGCTTCCTTTCAGACAGGGAAGACAACAGAGGAAGCAGAAATAGTTAGATACAGAAACGGCGATTGGGAAAAGACGGCAGAAGCAGAGTGACAGTGGTGCTGGATGATGATACTCCACTGCTGCTGAGTAGGAAGGCCCTAAAGAAGGCTAGGGAAGGAAGTGAGGTGCTGCTGAGTAGTAGGGACTTGTGTTGGTGTTTGGCTCTGTTCTGTAGGCACATGCCGTGGGGGGGAGGAGGGGGGGCGAAGGTAAATGACGAGGGTTCCTAAGCAGTTTCCCCGTCGATATCACCCCCTTCCCGCTACAACCGAGAGCGGGAAACTTCGGGAGCAGGGGTGGAAGGTGCCGACGGTAAGTGACGAAATACCTGCTCAATTTCGCTTCCCCGAAGATGGGTGTCCCCAACCCCTGGAAATCCCTCCCACGCCGGGTTTCGTAGGGCGGGGCGAGTGACTTGATTTTTGCCAGAGGAGGAAGGTGAGGAGGGAAAGTAGGTAGCTTCCTTAGGGCCAAAACCCTCGAGGGTAATTGGCTGTTCTGTAGCTATTTCCCCTCGAACAGGTTCGGAGGGGAAATGGCTGGCTCGGCAACGTTTTGCGGGCTGACCGCCTTCCGAACCTAAAAAACGCAGTGGGGGAAGCTACCTATTTCCCCTTGCCCCCCCACCGCCAGGGCCTACAGAACCGAGCCTTTGTGTCGCTTCGCTGAAACGAAAGTCAGGGCGTGTCACGCTTGGTGACGGGAACATTCGGTTCATTGAAAGCGGTTGACTACGATGTTGTGCGTTCTGAAACGGTAGTCGGTCTACACCGCTTTGAACCGCTATATACCAGCTTCAACAGTGATTCGTGAGCTGGTCTCTATGTGACACACCCCAAAGAGTGAAGAAAAGAGGAGCAGAGCAGAGCCGTGAGAAGCACGGTTTCCTTCTTCGGGTGTTCCACTCCACTCCCCTTCGCGAGTTTTAGTCTGGTGGACTTCGGTTCAGAACTTTTGAAATAGCGGATTCTCTCTTTGACTGTCCGACCGACTGCCAGATGCTACAGATTGGCGATTGGCGAATGGCCACCAGCAGGCACACGTGGGAAAAGCTGACGATTGGTCATTTGGAGTCAAAACCAGGTGTTCCCAGAGGTGTACGACGATGCTCTTGCTCTCCGCCTCACGGCAGCCATGGATTCTGCCGAGGCGCTGGAACTCGCCAATGTACCACCTATTGTACGACATTCCCGCTAACAACATAACCATTGAGATCGTCTTCTCTCAGGGTACCAGTGGATATTTTTTAAATGTTCAAACAGAGAACATTTGTCCCTATCCCCTGAAGGCGAGCAGAAGTCATGGTTTTGGGATTTCAGTGCGAGGTGTTTTCAAGGTGGCGTTTCCAAGGTTTCAGGCTACTATCAAGGCTCCCATCGGGCAACAACATGCAGACATTGTTTCTCCTACAAAGGATGTTCATTTCGTGCTCAGTTTTTATACTTCTCCAAGACAGCACTGGCTTTGGTGGCTGTTTTATCATCATTGCATGATGGCTCCCCGTGTTAAGAAGGCTGCTGCTGCTGCTGTCACCGCGGCTACCGCTGTTGCTGCGGCTGCTGCTGCTTCAACCTCTGATGGGGTTTCGTTAGCTTCTGCTTCCTCTACTGCTCCGCCGGCGACGACTCCAGCCAGGCCAAAGACTATGTCAAGACTTCCTCTTAAGTCTGCTACCGCCATGAAGGCGTCCAATGGTCCTTTCCCGCCTGATGAATCTGAAGCTCTGACTCTCTCGGCGAAGCTCGCAGCCATTCGCATTGAGGAAGCTGCGAATGATAGCAGGAAGGGTAAGGAGAAAGTCATTTTCAAGGATGCTGTTTCTGACGCTGCTCCTGATGGTGAAGATGTATCTCATGGCGATGATGATGATGATTCACGCGACAATGCTGAGGATGGCTCGGGTCCATCGGGGGTTTCTCACCTGCTTAACGATGAGGATGACGGGCTTATTGCCTATGATTCTGACGAGGAGGTTGAGGAAGCGTCAAAAGGAGAGATCGCGTCACGCTCCCGCTTCCCGATTACTCTTCTGATTTCTGAAGAGTTTTTGCTGGAGGTACCTCGCACACAGGCAACGATCAAGGGATTGGTGGGGATTTGGAAGGACGAGCTGTCAGATGGGGCTCTGGTCACCACGACGTACGAGCAGCTGTCGTCCGGTTTCCTGTACAAGAAGTATTATGGTCGCATGCAAGTTACTTTTGACAAGGCATCTGATGCTAACTTTGTGTGGCGTAATCAGGTTGAGCATAAGTGCAAAAATGGATCATACGTTACCTTTGACTGGCAATATCCGGAGGATCCTGCTTTCGCCAGGCAGAAGGCGCAGAACCCGGCGGTGATTGAGTTGTACTTCAAAGAGGTCCCTGCTGAGATTTCTCCTGCGATGCTGCATGGGATGCTGATGGCTCCGCTCAAGAAGAAAAAGAAGTCGGTGTTTAAGGAAGGCCTTTGCTTTCACCGTGTGGTCAACTCTGTAACCGGCCTGGATACGGATCGGATCAAGGGGCTGGTG